GACAACCAATGATTGACAGCCTGCTTACCTGGTGGTTTATTTGAATCAGAGACTGGAAGTGGTGGTCTAATRCGAAACGCACCATGGACTTGCATTGACAGCTTCTTAGTGACTGCTCTGATAGCAGGCATGTAAAACAATGTACCTGAAATTAGAATCAACTCAATCTTACCTATATTTAACATAAATCGTCTTATCCTCTCATCTATGGAAAGAAAGAACTTGCTTCTTGTTGAATTACAAAATAACTTAATTTATCTGAAGTTCATGAAACAACTGAAAAAAACATTCACATACTGAGAAACTAAATCTAGAGTACAAAGAACAAATGGAGGTTATTTGCTGTTATTGGCCAGTTGATAGATGAGTGCTCTCTTGTTCGTTTTGTCAATAATTAATAAAATTAGTTTGTCTGTCTACAGTAATTACCATGACCATCTTGTATACCATCCGGAGATGAATTCCTCCAAACTAGTTGCAGTTATAATTTGAGAATAGAACAAGAATATTTATTAAATGATTATACAGAAAACTGACCATTGAAAGTTGAATATGAAATGTATAAATTAATTTTTGTCATGGTATTAAAAACAACATAAAAGCCAACGTGAAGCATTATTGAGATTATCTAATATTAGAAACACTGATTATTGAGATTAGCCGTTAAAAACAGTCTGAAACTATAATATTATGATTACAATAAACCGCAGTAAATGTCATTGATATTAATGGTCCACACATTACATTATAATTATGGTAAGAATCCAAGGTGATTTACAAATCTTGTWCACYAGAAGGGTTACTGATTATGTGTACAAATAAAGTCATTTGTTAACAGGGAATGTGTTTAAMTAATATATACTATTATTMATGGTTAGTGGAATGWAAAGAAGAATAGAATAAAATAATWATTATTATTTCAAGTGATAAATGACTGAAATGAAGAAAAACATTGACAAATGTTTTAGCAAGAAATGGRTGGATGAGTGAATTGATGAAAGGTAACTGTACCAAGATGTCTAAGGAAATGAGTGTATAGGAATGAATGGATTCACAAATGAATGGAAGRAAAACATGTGAGTGAAGACATGAACATATGGCAGAATACAATGGATATCATTACCTGTACTAAATCGAGTTCTCTTGGTTGGTTTCCTGGTTGCTGGACTGGAACTGGGCCTTTCTCCCAACMCACTGTTATGTTGCCTGCTGCCCAGGACCACACTGTCAGACTTGACTGTAGTAGGCATGGTGCTTACTACAAAAAGACATAGCTTCATTTACCACGAACAGTGTACACTCACAAAAAGAAACATTATTTTGTGAGCAGTGAAGAAAACAACTAAGAAAAAAATTGCATCATACTCTTATTATTATACAGAATGTTGCTATGGCTACCTGATGTCATTTGAAGATCAAGAGCATTAGTATTTGCTGAGCATGTAACTTGTTTGGACTCATCACTAGGCTGTTCAGCACTATTTTCATCCACAAGACAGGAAGTGGACTGGGACCTAGCACGCTGGAGAGGTGGTCTTTCTTTTGGGCTTTTTGATTGGTTATCATGATGATCTTCCTTATCATCCATATTCTTTTGTAAGGCATGATCTGATTGGTCAGCTTGTGGTGGAGTTTGGCCATAGATGTCAGACTCACTCACGGTTTGTCTGTTGGTACCATCGTCAAGGGACGGCAAGTGTTCATGATCAGCATCAGATTCAGACATTATTCGATATAACTCAYTATCAAGGCCAGTCTTACGGCGTCTTCTGGGTTKGACTTCTTGTGGTGGTTCATGAAAGAYTTCATTATTGACAGGAGAACCTGTTGAATCATTAAAACCATCTCGTCCAATAGTAGATCGAGAATGTTCATTATCAACCTCRGCACCATCGTCATTGTATTCCTTATCTTGAGGTGGTAACATTTCCTCCAATGGTACATTTTTACTTTTATTTTGTGCAATTKCAGTTTGCTCCTCTTTCATTAATGATGATTTTATGTCCGTTCCTGTGTTAGTTACATTTTCTGGATGGTTTGTTTGATCTTCTTCCATGACTTGACTTACTGGTCGTGATTTCTTTGGTTCTGCTGATTTTCCTCTTTCATTAGCGATGCCTTTTTCAAGCTCTGTTTTTGCACCTTTAAAAGAAAGCATATGTGACAGGGGTTTGTTTTGTATCTCTGTAATGTTAAGTTTGTGTATTTATCGTCCCTTGGGCCTTGGCGGACTCATTTAATAAGGAGTCATGCTTTGTACGTGACAGAGAGTTCGACCACGGTACCAGCTAAAACGCATAGTCACTCGAAGAGTACGAGAATGCTTAAAACGTGAATTAAACCCAGCTTCAGGAGGCGAGTTATTAGGCCCATGAGATATTGTAAGCATGAGGAACAGTTAATAAACCTATACACATATTCTCTAGTGGGAGCAAAAAAGATTGACGTAGTGAACACACCTGGACTGAAGTGTATTTCAATGTGAAATCTATTTGGTGATGATACATCGGCTTTAGGGTCTTCATACAACATTAGGATAATTTGAGTCATGTAGTTCAGTTCAGGTACTTTGGCTAGAAAGTCTAAAGCTCTYTTCCACTGAAAGTCTGTTATTTTCTCATTCTGGTCAAAAAGAACATGCAAACAATACTTGAAACAAACAACAATGCTTGAAAGATGAAAAAAAGACAAAAAACAAAAACCTTACCTCAAACAGATTTCCATATCGCAAGGCATTAATAACAGAATGCACATGACTCTCGCTAGTAAAGTACAGACGAGTGCGAACATGACGGTGAGGTGAGATGACACTCTGGGAATACCTGGAAAACACATTAGAAATGAGAGACAATTGCTGGCAAAAAAACAAAAGGTATTATTACCACATACTTGGGATTAAGTCTAGTAAATGTATCTGTTACATCAGCATGAGTAAGGTCKCCTTGAATTTTCCTTAAAAGTCTCTGGCAGATGGTTTGAGATATCTTGACTTTCTGGTCACTTGTTAATCCATATTCCTACACAATACATGAAAGTCTTGCGAACATTTCTACCATGTTTCACAATTGAATCATAATTCTTTTGTATTTTTGTATGCTTTTCTTTTTTTCTTTGAACTGCTGTTGTATTTATCATTGTCCCTTTTTTAGTCTTCTCATATCCATATCAAGTCATGTGGGTTGGTCACTGTTCATACTACTTGTTGTCATAGTTATCATTGTCATAGATTCAAGCGTTGTCATTGTTACTGTTGCCATGCAACTGTTGTCTACTGTTGTCAAAGATGCTATTGTTATCATTGTTACTGTTGCTACTATTGTCTTAATCAGTTCTTGCCTCAGTGTTATCATTGAGTTTTTTCGTCATTATTGTTGCTGCAGAATACTAAATTGTTTGTGCTGTCCTTGCTATTTTTATCATTGCTMAGGGTACTGCTGCTGTTTAAGTAGATTCTCTTGTCAATGTCATTGTTGTTTATATAATCATCACGTTTCACTGTCCCTTGTTATTGATAGCATTTCTATGAATTCTTGTTGCTGTATTGTCATTCCTAATGTTCATAATTTGTTACTAAATAGCTGTCATTGATGACTTTGTTATCATCACTATTGTAGTATTATGTTAATTTTCTAGCTGCTGTCAATCAAACCTGTGGTATGACGATATCTGCCAAACCCTTTGCACACTTGTACAGCTCTTCAGTATTTCTAAGACCCAGAACACTAAAGCAAAAAAACACATCAATTACAAAAGACATTCATAACACATCAGTCACAATACTGACAGACAATCCTATCAATCTTGTAGGGTGGGGGAATGGTGGAGAATAAGAAAAGTTCTTCAGTGAT